ATAAACAAGCCAATATCGCATGGTATCAAGGAGCGGCTCTCGTGTTCACCTCAGCCACGGGTCACAACATTTCATCCTTAAGGGAAGATAAAGGAGATATTTGAAAAACATCGCCAATAGGCTAAACAGAAAGCATTTATCCAACACCAGCGCCATACACGCAAATATGACGAAGGCTTTGAAATTTGTGACAATGGGTTTAACAGTCTAGGAAGTCCTAACATCTTTAATGGGCTTAGATACAGAGAATGGATGCACGAAGTATGGGAATCGTACAAGTTTTATGTCCAAAAAATGACAGAAAGCTCTCGAAACGACCCAGGTGCTACACTTTGTCTACAGAAAGACGATGTGCTGCGTCAGGCGTATTACAAGTACGTATACGCAAGAGAGGACGGGCATCACCCCGAAAGTTACCAGGTGTTGAAGGTTTTGTATGAAAGACACATTGAAGGCAAACAGATACCTTTTCAACGTTATGTCATCACCCCCGAAGAATGTGAAGAGATAGAAAGAGATAAACAGTTACCTTCTTATTTTAGAGCTTTTTTTTAATTATTTTTTATTTATTAATTAATTAATTTATTTATTTATTTTTATTGTTTTTACAAACATAATGCTGACTTACATACATAGTACTTACTTAGTTACATAAAGCTTTAATACCTACTTACATATAACTTGCTAAGTTAAATACTACTTACTTACATAATATTAACTTACAAGATAATGCTTACAAAACAGGAGCCGATGAGTTGGAGCCTGTTACAAAATAATGAAAAAAGAATTCTAATACAGCTAATTACTAACTTACTTTCTATTAACGAAGAGTAAATACGCTAAAAACGACAAAAAATAAATAAATAAATAAATAAATAACAAACAAACAAACAAAACAAAAAAGCCAAAAAACAAGGGAAATTAGCCAGAATCAAGAAAATTATTTTTACAGCTTGACTTGCACCTTAGCTTTGCTAGTTTCAATTTGTATTTTATTTTTAAGGATAGACAAAAAAGCATCGAAAAAATAATCTTCCTCATTTTTAGACGCGGTGTAAATATAGTATTTTGCAATTATCAAGCAGAGGTTTAAACCAAGACACTGAGGCACGGTGTCTGTAATGCCATAAAGTGTTTGTGCTTCAGAAAGCGAGATCTCAATGTTGTTTTTTTCGCGCCACCAAACTGAAAAATGTGTCCAAAACAGCTGAGCATTGGGGCAAGTCACAAATAGGTGTGTGATTGTTTGCTTTTCAGCGCATAAATGACAGCGGTCATGTTCTTTAATTCCGAATTTATATAATGTAGCGTTGGTGGGTAAGATGTGGTGTAAGATCTTGAACTGAAACATTGAGAGTTGTATGTCTTTCGTAGCACTGAAAGGCATCTTGTAAATTTGAGAAATTTGCTGTTCATTTAAACTAGCTTTTCTGAGTCTTTTTTTGGCGGTGGCAGGAACAAATTTCCTTTCAACAAAAAAGTTGGTAGCAAGTTTAGAAGAAAGCTTCTCAACGGGAATTCTATCCATACTTATGGATTTATTCGAAGGCGGTTGTAATTTACCTTTCATTATTTTAATCCAGTTAGGAGGAATTGCTTTGCATAAACCGTAGTAGGTAAGAAAATTAGTTTTAAGACCAAAATAAGAGCAGAAGTCTTGGTGAGATAGAAAGGTATTGCCGTTGAAGAGATCTCCAATTTTTTCAACACCCGCTACATGCCATGCTTTATAGTATACTGAATAATCGTTGATCCTAATAAAGCGGTTGTTCCATAAGATTTCATTCAGTATTTCTTCTTTTGAGGAGGGAGTGAACGAATTTATAGATTGCCAGGCCAACAAGGCTTTCTCGTAAAAGATCAATGGAATGTGTATGTTAAGATGTTTAAGTTCAAAGTTACATTTAAGGAGAAAGAGACCACCAACTCGCTCTAGCAGGGAAACAGGAATGTGAGTCCAACTCGCGGTGGGATGACAGCTGTCTAGTCTTCTGATCCAAGTTGCTTTGAGAGCATTGTTGATTATGTCAAAATCAGGCAATGAGAGACCACCTTTTTCTTTAGGGCCAATCAGGGTAGTTTGTTTTATTTTTGGTTTTTTCTTTTGCCAGACGAATTGAGTAATAGCTTTATTAACTTTTTGAATAAATGTGGGGGTGACAGTGAGGACAGCAGTGTTATAAATAAGTTTGGAGAGGGCTAATGCTTTTAAAATGACAATTCGACCATGTAAAGTTAAGTTCCTAGGGTACCACAAGTTTAGCAAGGAAGCCATCGAGGACAGTTTCTGTTCAAAGTTCCTTTTGAAAGCAGCTTCGTCATCATAAGAGAAGTGAATACCAAGTGCAAATACAGGATCTTTTGGCCATGCAATATCAAGAGGTTCTTCCGGGTTGTTTTTGTTCGCGCCTAGCCACAAGCCCTCTGTCTTGCTTCTGTTTACTTCAAGACCAGAGCATTTTTGAAAAGCGTGGAGCAGTTGGAAGAGGTTTTGGGCAGATCTTATATCAGAAACAAAAACAGTGGTATCATCTGCGTATTGTGAAATTTTGAATTCCTTTCCATATATGTTGATTCCTTGAATATTTGCATTAGACCTTATTGCATTAGCAAGAATTTCAGCGCACAGCACAAATAGGGAGCCGGAAAGAGGGCACCCTTGGCGAACACCTCTTTGTAGTTTAAAGAAGACAGAGGCGTAACCATTATTTACTACACAGCTAGAACAGTCAGTGTAAAAGGTTCGGATCCACTGTAGTAACTGAGGGCCGAAATTTAATGCCTCCAAGGTCTTAAAAAGGAAGTTCCAGTCGACGGTGTCAAAAGCTTTTTTAAAGTCCACAAAAATCGCCATGCCGGGAATGTTTTCTAGCTCAGTTATCTTCATGATATCGTTAATGAGTCTAATGTTCTGTCCTATATAGCGGCCCTTGACATAGCCAGTTTGGTCGTCGTTTATTAATTTGGGGAGGACTTTAGCGATTCTATGGGCTATAGATTTGGTTGCTATTTTATAATCGACGTTAAGTAACGTTAGCGGTCTCCAATGTTCCAAATACAACCTGTTCTTGCGTTTTTTCGGTATGACCTTTATTATACCTTGTCTTTGTGTTATGTTGAGTTGTTCTACTTTATGAGCATAGTTAAAGCTTTGGACCATCTCATCACCAAGTAGATGCCAGAAGTGCAAATAGAACTCAACTGAGAGACCGTCGCTGCCCGGACATTTGTTTTTAGCACACTGTTTAAGAACGTTGAAACACTCGGTTTTCGACAAAGGCTGTTCAAGTTCATTTAGCTCGTTTTCGTCGAGTTTGACGAGGTTAGGGTCTCCCAGTAAAGCATCGCGTGCAATAATATCACAGGGAGCGCTCGTATATAAATTTTCATAAAATGCTCTCTGCATTTCCAAAATCTCTTTTTCGCAAGAAGTTTCCGAGCCAGTACTTGTTTTAAGCCTAGTTATATGAGTTTTTGCAAACCTCCTTTTCTCAAGATTTAAGAAGTATTTAGTATTCTTTTCTCCTTTTTCGTGCCAGCGTATCCTACTTCTAATCATTGCACCCTCGGTTTTATATTCAGCAATCTGATTAAGTTGAGCTCTTAATTGGTAGAGTTTAGTGATATTTTCTTTCGATCTGTTGGATTGCAGCAAGGCCATTAGGTGATCAATTTCTTTCTGAAGGTCTCGTTCCTTATTTCTTTTTATTCTGTTTTTCCTTTTTGAGTATTGTACACAAAAACCTCTAATCTCCATCTTGAGCATGTCCCAGTACAGGCCTTCATTAGTAAGGTAACACTGTTTGCTTTTGTATTCGGGTATTTTGCTTACGAGCTCGTCAATGAAATTTGCATCTTTCAGCAAAGCGTTATTAATTTTCCAAAACCCAGGTCCACGTTTAGCGTATTCTTTCGATTGAAGAGTGAAAGTGATAGCGCTATGATCAGATATTGTGGGGTTGGTGATGTTAGTATCAATGACGGACATCAACAATTCTTTCGACACAAGCCAATAATCTAAGCGGCATTGCACTTTCAAGGAATTGTTACGCCATGTAAATTGTGTTTTGTTGGTATGTTGATTTCTCCAAATGTCATGAAGTTTAAAACGCCGGGTTAAGCCTTCAATCTCGTCAATGACTTTTTGTTTTTTCTGAACAGTAGCACCACCCATTTTATCTGTAGGTGTTAATGGGCAATTCATGTCACCTCCCAAGATGATTTGTGCATCTGCAAATGGTAGGAGAATGTTATCAAGATTGCGAAAGAAAGCTATGGGCGGTAGAGTCATTTGGCGCGTAAATGTTGCTAAACAAGAAGGAAATTAAGATTCTAGCACGTTGGCTTTTAATAGCAAGAATCGTCCATTCTTATCAGCGATGATGCTTTCTGTTTCGAAATCCAGACTCGGTTTAAATAATATCATCACACCTTTTGAATGTGTTGTTCCATGACTGTAATAAATTTTCCCTCCCCATTCTGCTTTCCATATTTCTTCGACACTTTTGAAAGAGTAAGTTTCTTGTAAATAAACAACGTCGAATTTTTGATTGTGGAGCCATCTAAACACCCGCCGTCTCTTTCTAGCTTGATTTAAACCTCTTACGTTTAAAGAACAAAAGGAGAGTCTAAACGGGGCACCCGTGAATTAGCAGCATAGAATATTCTATCGGTTTCGTTGAGGAAGATATGTAATGTAAATTAAATAATATACATTAGTAATCAGCCTTATCGCAAGCTGAAGGAGTACAAGACTAAGCTGTAGGGAGATGAATCTAAGTATATCAAAATAGATTCTAAACATGTAAATAGAAACGGCTATACAGAAACGCTGAGACACAAAACGCACAGTTATTAGAGCACAAATTGCTCAAAGTAGGGAAACCCCTTCTTACACCTAAACGGGTTCCCTATGAACAGTTTAATGCTAAATAAGTAGGCGCTATGAGCGAAGCAAACTCTTGGGAGCGCGAAAGGAATCAATTATTTACAGCAACTGACTAATCATGTACCATAACTTTACCGTACAGAGGAAGATCTTTAGTTTCTTTTCCACGATAAACTTGCCCTTCAATAATAAGTTTGTCGACATTAAAGAAAGCTTTTTTCTTCTGGGCTTTAGCAGCTTTCAAGATTGGGTAAAGTTTCTTGTGCATATCGGCGATTTCTTTTGGGAAGTCACTGGCAACACCGATCTTTGAGCCTTTTGGTAAGCTTCTAGCGTATGAAAAAATTTGCTCCTTGTCTTGATAGAAGCTGGCTTTGGCGATTATTGGGCGCGGACTCTTAGATTTGTTGGTTTGATTAACAGCTCGGGTGTTAGAAATTCGATGAACTCTTTCGAAGCTCATATTGTTTACGTCTTCTTCAGGTATTTGAAGCTGTTGTATCAGGACGTTTCTCAACACTTGCTCGGTTTCTGCTGGAGTTTCATGTGAAGAATCTTTGACACCGTAAACTCTGAAGTTGCTTCTTCTTGACTGAGCTTCAAGACGTATGTTGCGACATACTAATTTGTCGACTTCAGCCTTCAACTGATCATTTTCTTTGCGAAGCGAAGCAGTCACCTTTTCAGTCGCCGCGGCAGCATTTTTAATTTCTTGAATTTCCTTAGTTGCAGAATTCAAACTTTCCATTAGTTGCTTGTTTTCCTCTGTGAGTTTAGCAATTACTGATTTTAGGTCATCAACGGCTGGTTTGAGAAGAAGTAAGCTTTCTAACTTATTCCTGATATCGTCAAAGGCTTTCAGCGTGGCGTCACCCTCGTGGTCGGGAAGCTCCTCGAGGTCGTCGTCAGTTTGAGAACCTTTTTCCCGTATTCTTTTTGCCCTTCTTCTAGAGGAAACGTCATTCTTCCCAAGCGAGTCAGTTTTGGCTGCCATTCGGTAAAAAATTAAGTGCTCTCCATGGTTATAAGCGGAGTTTACATCGAAAACGACGGAGCGATAAAAGAAACGACCATCTTTGTCAGCGCCTAATTAGCATTCCTATTTTAGAGCTTTTGCACAAGATACACGCAGATCAAAATGTATTGCTATGCTTAACAATATAAGGAACCCTAGATCTTCCTGTTTGTTCTAAATCAATGAAACAAGTTCATTTGTTTTAATTAGTAAGTTTCATGAAACATTCTAAATAGAGAAAAGGTTTTGAAGTCATCAATAAAACACACTTAAAGTTTAATTGTTTACAGTTTTTATTAACGGCAACAATACAAAGGTTCAGGAAAAAAAATTCTATAACATTCACAGTAAGTCTAGTCTTGATCTTGTGGAATGGGCTGCTTTTCGTACAATCGATTGAGTAAGAATTTTCGCTTATCGATAGCAAGCTCTGTCGATTCCAACCAATCAAATCCTTCTGTGTCTTTAACCTCTTTTTGGGTTTCCACCTTCCACCATTGAAGGTGGGATCTTTTTTCATTGCACGCATCCACTGTACATTCCTTAAGAGTACTTTTCTTAGCTCTTTTCTGTAAACAGGAAGAAGAGCGTTCTCGGCTTTCACGCGGGCCACATTTTCTGAATCTCCGTTCCCTTAGTACTCATTGATCAATGCGTTGAGCTGGGTCTCATACCGTTTCTCGGCTTCATCAAAAATGCGTGACCAAGGCTCTAAGTTTTCTGTTTCTTCTTGGGCCAGACTCCGCTCATTGGCTGGCTTGAGAGACTTCGCTTTCTTGGGAGAAATCGTTTTCTGCACTGTCTTCATATTTTCCAGCACCTTGTTGAAGAAGGGTGTAGTGATGGTTACTGTTCCACATTTTTTGGTTTGAACCGCACGCGTCCTGATAGGAAACTAAATTTCAGAAAGGAGCGCGCCTCTTTTGTAGGATATTGGTGAAGGGGGGGTTACTAAGCGTTCTCCTTCGTAAATATTACTCGATTTTACATCGACCCTACATCGACCCTATATCAACCCTTCATCGAACACACATCGACCTCACATCGACCCCACATTGACCCTACATCGACCCCACATCGACCCTATATCGACCCCTCATCGACCCTACATCGACCCCATATCGACCCCACATCGACCTCACATGGACCTTACATCGACCCCACATCGACCCTACGTCGACCTAATATTACATCACGATTGACAAGAATTGCATTAGAATTAGTGATGACATCAAATTTGATTAGGAAGCTATATAAACAGGAAAATAACTTATTTCCTTCAATATGTTGGAGGTTCTCGTGTGGTAAAGATGCCTTATAAATTCAAAAGAGATTGACCGGTATGTGGCAAGCCAGAATTACTCTCCTTGAGTGATCACCTGCGTCAAGTGCATCGATTAAAGAGCCACGAAAGAAAGCAATGGCTAAAAGCAGCAGTACTTTCGGCGTCTAAGAAAAGTCTGGGTATAACACAAGGAATGTCTCGACGTTTTCCCCAAGTATTGCACACGGAAAAGGAAAGAGGTAGAGAACGAAAACGAACTATTGTAGCTGTCAAAGAAATGGAAAAACCTCACCATTGTATAGTCAAGAGACCCAAATTAAACTAACGATGTTTCCCTGGAAACCAAGGCATATCCAGAATTTATGTTTCGACATAAATTTTCACTTCTCGTGGTAGGCCCCACTCAGTGTGGTAAAACATTTTTCGTAGAAAAAATTCTTACAATGGATCGTATTCTGTACGAGAGCAAGAAACCGAGAGCATATGGTGGTACTAAAGTCAGTGGCAGGATACCTACAAAGTGATGCAGTCATCTATCGGAAAGGAAATTCAGTTTTTTCGTGGCCTTGCGGAGTTTAAAGAAGATCTTCGGGAAACTGACCCAAAGTTTAAAAATGTGCTGGTGTTAGATGATCTTATGTCCCAAGCAACAGAGAGTCCTCTCGTTTCCCTTCAGTTTACCCAAGGCCGGCATAGAAATGCTAGTGTGATACTACTGTTACAAAATATGTTTCCTACATTCTTGCTGCTACAAAATATGTTTCCAAAGGAAAAATTTAACATGGATATCAGCCGGAATGCTCAGTACATGGCTCTTTTTCGAAGTCCTAGCGATTGAAAACAAATCGGTATCCTTGCGGAAGTAATGTTTGACAAAAATCGCCCGCGATTCATGGCAGCTTATTTTCAAGAAACGGACAGAGCGTTTGGTTATATCTTCGTTGACAATCGCCTAGACACGCTGAGTGATAAGCAAGTATTGATTGACATTTTCGGCTCTTGTCGTCGATATCCGACTATTAACAGCTCCGCAAAATCGGTCGAAACAGTCAAAACGACCAGTTATAAGGAAAACATTGCCTGCGAAGTTAGATCAGTGGTAAAATCACCTCCCGTAGTAAAATCTTCCCCGCAAATTGTGAAAACGTCACGGCCATTTCCTTCTAATTCAGTCTGGTCTGAAGCAGCCTATCCCGTTGTACAAAATTATATGCAAGGAGCGCCCCGATGCCAAACCCGGAAATGTACCGCATTGCCAGACATCTTTATGATCCGTATCTTCCATCGTACTCGTATGGACATTACTGGCCTATGAAAATAAGACACTATTGCAATGGAAAATCTAAATGGATTTACTTGCACAAGGACGATGCCAGCGTAAGATCTTTCCTAGAAAAGAACCAAACGAATGCTCGATAGACCAGTAACAAATTAATTAAACGGTTGTCGATGCACTTTGCAATTGTGTGTGAAACGGTACCTTATCTTTTTGTTAGAGGACTAAGGCATTATTGTTTAATTTACGAGAACAAAATGAGGCATGAGTCAGATAGAAATTACTACTGATTAACGGAGCGTGTTTTTATGTGTTTTTTAATGATAAAGTAATTTCATAGAGAGAACATTGTTTTGTAATAGATTGAAATAAAGAGTTTGAGCTCCATCTTGTGTCTGAGTTTTGTTTATAACCAAATTTTTGGTTACGCAAGCGAACTGGAACAAACTGTTTCCTTAGCAAAGCGATTGCAAGAAAGATAGCGCTTTCGAAAACTGTCCGCTTTTATTTTGAAGACATAAAAAATAGATTCTACATGAGCCAATCAAGGTTAAAAGAGCCTGGGCAAGCCTATTGTTCCTATTGTGTCCTTTCAAGAAACGACTATCCACTTAATTATATATGGAGGAAGGCACTTTATTAGTATGGAGGAACGCACTTTTTCTCTAGGTTATAACAATGGGTGACGGTATAGACTCGACCCTTATGCATATCAATGATTTACCTCGACCTACCTCGACACTTACTCGACACCAAAACGGCGTAAAATGACCCTCTACCACTACTTCCCTCCTTTGAATATGTTTTTGTTAAAAAGCGCCCCAATTCTAATATTATATTAGAGTACGGGTACGTATCAACCGAGGTTCATCTTCCTTTACTTGCTCACAAACGAACGGTAATGCCACATTACAGACACAGTGGTCTTATGTCCATGTGTCGGTGCGTAAATTCTTCTAACGAATGATCTCTTCTTCAAATTTTGTGGCGATTGCTCGGCTGGTCGTTCTGGCGAAGGGGGATCCAGGGACAACAAGTCCGTTTTCCAGTCTCCTTGACTTGCACTTTGTTCTCACTGCGGGCTTTTTAAAGAAATGTGAATATAAGGAAGGAAAGTTCTATCGGCACATGCCTGACAAGTTTGTTATCAGGTTCAAGGTAATTCCCTCGCGTTAACTGAACATTCACGGTCAGTGCAGTATTTGTTATTATTACAGTTTCTGTTATTGTTCATTTTTAAATTAATATTCAAGTTTCATTTAAACATTTTCAAACATTTGGTTGTTTCTCAAAAAAGAAATAAGCGCCCTGTCCCGAACAATCGGGGGTGGAAGCGGAATCATTTGAATCTTGATATTCATGATTCCTGTCCTTTTCGCCTCAATGATTCATGATTCCTACAAGAATTTTCTTTCAGATTCATGATTCACGAAAACTTTTGGTCAGTGGGAAGTCTCGTTTTGTATAGTTTCTTTGGTGCTCAAATTTCTGGTTCATCCAGACTCGATATGATCATTCGTTTTCTCTAGGTATGGATTTTTTTTGTAACTGAACCTTAAGAACCAGGTGGTTCGAGAAACAACCTGACTGTCAGCCCCGAATGGCCGAATTATATAGGGGGGTCCGGGGGCATGTTCCCCTAAAAAAATTTCAAAAGTGGTCTATCAGAAACGCCATATCCTTCATTCCCTAGATCGAACACAATTAATTCATACGTGTATTTTAGCTTTTCTCAGAGGCTCATTTTTCATGATTCCCGAGCCAAAGTAGAAAAATTCCCACGTTTTTAAAACACAGATTCATGATTCTTACGTGTTTTGTAACTATGATTCATGATTCCGCTTCCACTGAGGCACCAATAGTAAACAAACGCCCAGGCCCGGGTTGCTCGAAGCATGGTTAGTGCTAACCAGCGTTAAATACGATGGAAACCTATACATTTTGATACCTCTTAACCAACGGTTAGCGCTAACCAGGCTTCGAGCAACCGGCCCCAGGGCGCTAAATTGAATCATTATAGTAAGTCTATTTTTTTACTTGTCGCGCGCTTAAAACATGGTTCTAATAAATCAGGGTAAAATTAGGTCTATATAATTTGATCAAAAAGTTAAACGCTAAAAGATTTTTAAAATACATTTAAAAAACATTTAAAAAAGTGAACGACGTTTCGGCGCTACATTACGCCGTTATCAACAGAAGTACTCCATTTCCAAAGCCACATCGACAGCAGATACAAGAAAGGCCTAGTCAACACGATGGTTAACCGTGCGTACCGTCTATCTTCCACCAAAGAAGGTTTTGCAAAAGAATGCAACAAGTCACGCACCATGTTTTCAAAGCTGCGCTATCCGAAAACATTGGTCGATTCCACTATAAATAAGTTCAGCCAGGAACGAGATAAAGAAATACACACCGTGCCTTCAGTAGACCCATCTGTTTACATAGTATTGCCCTTTATAGTCAGGTCGCTTAGCGTCAGTTTCATTACTGGCCCGATACAAGCACCAATTTTTGTATGCACTCTTTTTTCGATGTAAGATTTAAATTTAGTCGTGGATCAATCGAAAATAATTCCTCTATCTCATCAAACAGAGCGTGGAAAAATTAGGTTAACTTGCATAAATTCAAAATGGCGGCGCTAAGTACAAAAATTTTAAACAACTACAAATTCGTCGCACTTGTAATGCAACTATAACCCGTGTTTGTTAAAGAAATGAAAAATGATGATAGGACTGAGTGCTGCAGTCCAATTTGCTCTTCAGTCATACGAGTTTAAAACGGATTACGATTACAGACCGGCATGGACAACACGAAGATCTTAGTTCACCAATCAATCAAAACTATAACAAAATGTTTCATAACTTTAACCTTTCCAACATTAGAATGTAACTTTTTCGAGAGTTCTGCTAGACGTTTAAAAAGAATCTACTCAAGAGCGCGTGGGCGAGATGGCGCGTACTGTTTGATTACTTACGCATGACGCTTTCTGATCTATTCAACTGTTCATTAAGCGGAAATCAGCACCTCCGTAGGCCAATCAAACTAGAGAATTTTGTTGGGTATGCATGATTTAAATAATAAAAATATTATTAAATTAATGACCAAAAATCAATTGATTTTTTGTTCAATAAATCTTAATTACCCTTTTTTTAATTACTCTGAGTTAACACGCTCTCGAGCGAATGAAATGATCGTCATAAGTTGTTTTAATAAGGCATTCCAGTTAAACAGAATATTTTCCTGGCAATTGCGGGGAGTATCCAGGAACTTTCGAAAACTAGTTACTTGGGCAACTAAAGAAGAACGTTCTTAGTGCCTCATTCTTCCTCTTAGATCAGTTACTAAACCTACTCCTGATTTGAAAAATACGACTTACAGTTATTGTAAATCGGTATGTACTTTGAACATCTTAAGTTTCTTCTCCTTTCATCTCACTTGTCTGCGACCGCTGCAATACGAATTGTAATTACAATTGCAAAGCGGGGAACACTTCAAGTTCGCTTTGCCACATTTGCGGTTGGAACAGTCTCCCTTGCATGTACACTTGATTAAATCTTGACAGGCTTTAGAAAGCTCTGGAACGGTTAGCCAAGGTGGGCTCCACACATTGTCTACTTTTCTCCAGCCATAGTCGCTTGGGGAAGGAATCATCTGCTGTACTTCTGTACTTGTAACCCAGATAGAAGCTTGGTAAACAGCCCTCTTCGTGGGTTTTAGGGGGCATTCTGGGTCGGTGGCATCCTTTCCATCGTGACGTTCTTTAGACAGAACAGTCCCCTCCTTGTCTGGTGCTCGTTTTGTCGTAGACGAGGACGATCAGCCGCTCAATCTTACGAAAGTTCTCACAGTTGGAATCAAGAGGCTCAAAAGGATGTGAAGCTACAATCGGCGACAAAATGAGTTGAGACACTTCGCCCAAAAGTGGGCTTTTTTACGTTTTACGAACTTCAAAAGGAGGAAATATAGCTTTCCTCCCCCATCCCCTCAGTGCAATGTTGTGCCCTTGTTCTAGCTACCTATAGAAAACAACAAACACCCCAACTTCGAATGGAGGGGACAGGGGAGAGGTGCGGATTCTTTTGTTCAATGTCTCAACAATTTTGTCGCTGATCGGCGACAAAATGAGTTGAGACACTTCGCCCAAAAGTGGGCTTTTTTTACGTTTTATGAACTTCAAAAGAAGGAAATATAGCTTTCCTCCCCCATCCCCTCCGTGCAATGTTGTGCCCTTGTTCTAGCTACCTATAGAAAACAACAAACACCCCAAATTTGAATGGAGGGGACAGGGGAGGGCTGCGGATTCTTTTGTTCTCCGAAGTCACCCTATTTAAGTACAATGTGTCAACAATTTTGTCGCCGATTGTAGGTGGATAAAAGTGCCTGTAACCTCTTCAAACGCCATCTAAGCTTACCAGAACGACTTCTTCCCTTTTCCCCAAAAAGCAGAGGTTGTGTCGCATCCAGAAATCGCTTGAAGCATTGGTAGTGCTTGTGACCTTTTTGTGCCAAGGCTGGTTGACAGAGCATTTATGCTGTAATGTCTGTAGTTCTTTCCCACTCCAAAGGCGACCCAAATATCAGCCTTGGGCTGTGACAGTAACAGCTTGTGAAAGACATCAATAAGGACAACAACAACATCAGTGTCCACAGTGCGAACTTGCACAGTCGTCAATCCCTACTGAAGTGCGTGTAGTACATGAACCACAATTCTTGTGTCGGCCTCTTCATGATTGCAGTTTGGCATGGGACTGGATGAGATACCGTTAGCACTGACTCTTCCGAAGTGATGTAAACCGCCTTTCCCTCGGGGAAGACAAAGTTTGCCACTTTATAGGTAAGAAAGTCAAACAGCTCTCTCTTGTTTGATGAATCATGCAGAAAGTCTGACTAGCTTCGTGGTAACTTGGTTTCTCCGGATACCTTTCTGCGGACCCCCTTTCCTCTCTTCTGACGAGTCGACTCCTTTAAACTTTCCGATCTGTATGTGTCCCATACAACGTCCAACCTTTCTGTTCCTTGTAGATGACTCTGAAGATGAGGGATGAAAGCCTTCTCTGCGTATTCTTTGAATGTTGTAATTCCAGCGATGGACAAGCAGTGTACGATGACAGCACCATCCAATACTTTACAGCTGAATGTTTCAGGTGGCGTAGATTCATGTAGTGGCTCAAGGCATTTCGTCAGTTCAGACTTTGTGCCCGGCAAATAAAGTTTGCCAAATTCTGACAATGAGGGAGGAAAGGATTGGACTTCATGAGAAAAGAATTCTTCCAAATCCCCTTCATGGCTCTGCATTGAGATATACAACTGACCAAAAAGAAGACACATTACCTTCAAGAGCCTTAATCTTCTTTCCTTGCTTCGACTTAATCTTTGGACTGGGTTTCCTGAATAGTGCTGGCTTGTTTAATTTAATGGGTTCATGAATAGATCCTTTTCATTCCTCCAGTACTTCTTTGACAAAGTTACTGTATTGTCCCTTTCCTGTGTCTTCAAGGGTGTGCAATGCAGCTATGACTGATTCATCAGCGCAATCTCGACTATAGGGATACAAAATCTGAAAAATCGGCCAAGAAAGGGTTCCCCATCTTCCTTATGATGCTAGAGAGACTAGTTACCTACCTTTGGAAGGTTTTCTGTGTTGATAGACCTTGCTCATGATTCAGAAAGTTTTGGGGATTATCTGGATCGTTATCAGAAAAGTATTGGCTCTCGAACTGTTTTCGAAGTCTTGACAGCTCTGGTCCTGACAACATCGAGCGTCTGAAGGCAACAGGGTTTTCTGTAAGACCAATACAACCCCCGAGCCTTTCACGTTGCGGTTTTCTTGCTCATGTGCTTGATCGAACGGAATTCCTGAGAATGTATTGGCCGTTTTCGAAATAACCCAGTTGCCCTGAATCTCAAACTCTTCTTTGATTGGCCAAGGCAAAGATTTCTTATCTCTTATATGAACGGGTAGCCACCTTGCGTAATTGACATGTCTAAGGCAAAGAACAGAAGTGCTACTTCTTCCAAAACGTTCACGTACAAATGAAAGTTTCTCTCCCTGTGAGCACGGACAAAGATGAGAATAAGAGTTTCGTATCGCAAAATAAGGTCCCAGAACATAAATGTTGGACTTTTAGCTATCATCTGTAATCTCCAGGCTTCGGCTGTTTCTTCGTGTTCAGAGCCAATACAACTTAAGAAAGCTTCGCGTTGAAGGATACGCAAGGTTAACAGTGTGACTTGGTGGGCGTGTCTGGTACGGGTAAGGTGAGCCGCGTTCAACATCGATTGTGCAGTCCCGGCAGAAGTTACTTCAGCTTCTGATAGAGCTGATGTCCACCCAGAGCCCTCAAGTAAATCTCCAAGTACGTTCCAAAGAGCCATCTCTGTGTGCAAGCCTCCCAACATGGCTACATACTGTCCTTCGCCGTGAGTGGGTGGAAAATGCCATTGGACCAGCTTTGCCAGGGCGAAGAGTGGCTGATCAAACGTAATGACTGGAATCTGACCTGGGTTAAGTAAATTTGTCGCTTGCTTCACTACATCCATACCGTGCTTAATCATTGCGGGTGTAGCAGACTTCTAATAGAAGAGAGGTAGCATTGCACACAAGGCTGGAAGGCCATGTGTAGGCGGTTTTTGAGAGGCGTGATAAGCTGCCTATGCGATAGCGTCTCCTTTCTCTATTTCTTCTTTTTTCAAAAGTCGCGTGGAGATCTGCACCCATTCATTTTCCACTTCTAGGGCTTTATCCAGGCAGACCTTTGTTTGCTCCACCTTTACCTCTGGGACAACAGTGTTAGACTTTGCTATAGCTACAGCCGGGACAGTAGTGTAGATTTCAGGTAGCTGAACATGCTTTCCACTCACGGAGGGAGGAACCGTAAAAGGCGGTCTACATTTACCCGGCTTGTTTGGGGATGGAAATTGGAACATACTAATACCAGTACCATGGAAAGAGCTTTGTGATGTAGTTGAACTGGGATTATGTTCCAGGTTGTCCAAAGCACCAACGGTAAACAGGCCTCTGTTCAGGCAGACAGGGGATACAACTCCGTCCTCGTCAAAACGTATGCTTATTGCTTTGGCAATCCAATCTTCAAGCTGTAAAACCCTTTCGTTGGAAAAGCAGACTCCTATCTGGTGTAACTGATTGATAAGATGCTTACCGTATTTTCTCGATTAAACGCCGGACCCCGATTAAACGCCGGCCTCGTTTAAACGCCGGGTCAAAACTGCTAATTTTTAAATAAACGCCGGGGGCGTTTGTTCGAGGTCCCGGCGTTTATTTGCGTCGAGACAATAAGTACAGATATTCACTAGAAAAGCACTGCTATAACAAGTACTGTACGGTATACTGCTTTTGTTATTTTAATAAATGTCTAACGAACAAGTCTGGCGTAACATTAACTGCGATGTACAAGCTTTACAACAAAACAAAATTGAAAAGTCACCTTCAAGGCACAGCTGTGTTGAGAGAATACTAGCGGCCTGGGAAAGCCTCCCAAGTGACATTATCAAGAAGAGTTTTGAAGTGTGTGCGATCTCGCTACCCATTGACGGATCGGAAGATGAGAAAATCCACTGTTTTCAGAAAGAAGCCCACTAAGAAATGGGAGGGAGGAGTTTACTGAAAGGGCCGTGGCATTTTACGCTGCGCTGGGACGAGGTGCTCCCCTAGATGAAAACGACCCATTCGCGGACCTAGAGCCGGACATTTTCGAAGAAGAACGTAATGAGATTGTTGTCCACGAAGATTAGCCGATTAGCACACAAACATTATTGCGAACGTTTGTTGATACAAACATAAAGGACGTTGGCGACATTTCCGTTTTTAAACTTTAAACGTTTTGTTCTGTTTGCATAAATACTGATTACAATATACACGTGCCGTATGTAATGCCGTATGTAATACCGTATGTATGAGATACAGGAACATTATGTCAGGTCGGGTCCAAGGGAGAAATCGTCCCGCGTTGACAAACTGCGCACGGATCTCAAAGAATGTGAAATAATACATCAACCTAGAAATGATGAAAATTTTACTCCATTAATAAACGCCGGACCCCGATTAAACGCTGGCTTCAAATAAACGCCGGGTCCCCGAGGCCAAGTTTTAAATAAACGCCGGGGGCGTTTAATCGAGAAAATACGGTACTTCTGGTCAGGCCATGTATGTTCAAGCCAATGTAAACAGGGAGTGGTGGCTCGCGCTCTAACGAATGTCTTGGTTTTGCCTCTGGTTTAGCAGTTGATCGTTTCTTAGCGTTAAAGACTATGGCCTGGCCAATAGTGAGGCATGCTTGGGACTCTTGCTTCTCTTGGTGTTTCAAGTTGGATCCATTGAGAATTAAGGAAATGAGGGTCTTGAGACTTGATGGCAGTGACATGTCTTGACATTTTTCCGGAAAAGATCCGTTGAAGAGAATGCCTTCATGATTAAAAATGTCTTTCCTTATTATAGAAGCAGCCCTGGCCAAAATTAGTGCGTCTTCTGAGAAGTCTCTTTTCCTTAAGGCGTCTTGAATCATGTTACGCATTCCTTCTTTGAAAACTAAGAAAGTGTTCCTGCCGTCGAACTGTTCTTGAGCTTCCTTGAAGTATTCCAACAAGCGCTCCTTTAGCCTGATACTTTGCTCCGATCGCAATAAGATCTCCTCCAACTATTCTCACAAGTAGTCGCGAATCATTAAGCTCTGTTATTATTGTTCTTATATTTGCGTCTGTCCCAAATGTAGACACCTGGCGGAGATCTCCATCATCTTCTCGAGCTCCCTTCTCACACAAAAAACACACCTCACTGTTCAACCGTTGTCGCTTACCGCGAGAGCTTGTTTCTGTCGAATCACTGCTGCGTTTTCTTTTCAGTTTTGCTTTTTCAAGTTTGCAGCTGCTAAATTTCGCATAGCAAGACTTATGCCACGACGCACGATGAAATTCCCAGCCTTCTGCTGTCTCATCACCAAATTTGACTATCACTGGTAAAGAATCAATATCTTGAAACTGCTTCACGTGATTAAGAAAATTCATATATGCGTCTTTTTTATTTCCATTCTTTACCGGGTTTTACAAAGGACATTTTAAAGCTTCTGAGGTTTTCCTCTGGCATATAACACATAGGTTCCAGTCCACCTCCATGTTTTGCGGTCACAAACTAAAACAAATAAGGAATTTGTATAATTTTTTGTATATATGCTACAATGTTGGCTGTTAATTAAAACTGAATTTAAGCTACAGTAAAACGGGCAACAAAAAAAACGTGCAACTTGTTTTGAAACATTGCTGCAAAACGAGTTGGATAGAGATGTTTCGCGTTTTACCACCGACGTTCGAACCTGTCTTGTAACAAATAAGGTTGCAAGGTTTTTTCGTAGGTGGTAAAACGTGCAACATTGCTATTCAACTCGTTTAGCACCAATTTTACAAAACATGTTGCACTTTTTGTTGCCCCTTTTCACCGTACTTTTAAGGAAAATTTCACTATAATTCATGATAGCTTGGACCTCTATAGGTTTCTAAATATAACAACATAGTCTTTTAACTGCAAAACTACAAGCTTGAACATTGTATACATACCAGGTTAAGAAGCACAGCATTTGGTCCCCTGAAGCAGCGCCCGAGAGTTTGAACATGCTTTTGTTTTGAGAGAAATTATTCAAATTGCACGCAAAAATCCAGGTGGATCCACGGAGAAAAATGTTTAATAGTAATTAAGGAAACAATCTGGTGATTTTGATGCTTGTATCCGCTGTGTAATGTTTCCGCGAAAATTTGGAGTTAAGCGACCTGACTATTAAAGATCAGCGATCAGCTGATCGCGTACGCAAAGATATCTATTCTCTAGCAGCTAAGATTGATGTTAACGTAAAACCCGTCTTTACAAGTAGAAAACTGTCACAAACCCTGAGTGTCAAGGAAAACAAGTCCCCGATCGTCACACTCAATGCGTTGTATACTTATTTCAATGTGATTTGTGCGATGCCAATTATGTCGGGTACACTGTCCGACACTTACATCAACGCATAAGTGAACACCGTTGTTCAGCCATCGGGAAACACCTTGAAACACAGCAACAACAGAACAAAGACTGACCATCTTTTCAAAGTTCTGAGGAAAAGTAACAGGAAGTTTGATCGCTTAGTCTATGAGATGTTATACATAAAGGACATCAAGCCTTCTCTTAACACGCAAGCCGACTCCATTCGTGCCAAACTATTTACGTGACACCTTCGGACATTTTTTTTTCTCTTATTGTGGTTCTTACCTTGGGAATTATACCCATTTGGCCCCCAAATATTTTATGTATTGTTTCAAATTTTTCATCTTCGTTTTACACCTTATACTTTTTCACTTTTCAACTTGATAATGGCGTAATGTAGCGTCGAAACGTCGTTCATTTTTTAAAATGTTTTTTAAACGTATTTTAAAAATCTTTTAGCGTTTAAGAGCGAATCCATGCAAAAATCGACCAAAATCGCCGATTCGTGGCAAGGCTCAAAAAATCAAAATTGCTATTCTTTTGCAGACTGGTAGACTTAAATAAGTATACAAACGCTATGTATTTTTTTCTTCGAAAGATCTGTTCGTTTCCGAGAAAAACGAAGAAAACCGTTTCAAGCCCCACCGTCGATTTCGCAAGCCAAAAACAGGGCTGAAATTCATCATGATTCGCTGGACTCGCGTTCCAATACAACCGCGCTAGGAAGAAAACTTATTGCTAAAATTTTAAGTTTAACTCGTCGTTGATCAAAATATATAATATTTTTAGCATTACAACCGTCTGAGTAATTATAAAAAAACTAAATCGTACGGCTACCTGATGTTTACCCACGAAAGGTCGTTGAAAACAGCGACGATTTTCATCATGTGCCTTTGATCAGAAATTTTTCAGATTGAATGGAAATACACTACAGGCATCAAACGTTTATGTTATGTAAACATTGTTTTGGGGAAATCATTTTGAGCTTCTCAGAAATTATTTGAAAATCGTTTTACAGACAACATAAAGTAACGTCATCTTTAACATATGCGTGACCATCGTCAGTCGACCAGGCAAAGGTCATCAAACGTTTGTCCTAAAAATGTCTAATATTCAAGCACAAAGTTCTAAACGTTAAAGTACTTACCCTATTCTTTGTTCCAGGTCTAGGTTTACGGAAAAACGTTTCCCGTTTCCATCTGTTCAAGTTTGCCATTGTATATTAAACTCTGTTTGAGACTCATAACCAACACGCATTCTTTCTAACGAAGTTCGCTTATGTTAATTCAACACGTAGTAAACCCTCTCTTCCTTATCTGTCAACCACTTTTGTCTCAAAATGCTGCTGGACACCGCAGAAGGAAGCGCCAATCTTAAGGATAAAGCACCCTTCGGACGTTTTGTGACTCAGCATGCAAATTACTTTCAACAGTAATATCGGATTACAGCTGTCAAGATCCCGGTGCCCGTGGTCAGGATCCGCTAAAAGCAGGCGCAAAGCAAACGTAAAACATGCGTGTAATATAAAATTTTTGGGAACGAGGGAACGAGGCTGCAATCTCCCCAAGAGTTGCATCGACCACTTGTTTTGCTGTTCGAATGTGGAATCGTTGAGTTCTATCCGATGCCATATCCCCCACACGTTGTCTTGAATGAGGTACAAGTCAGTTGTTTGAAGGAAATGTAAAAAAACAAAAACAAAAACAAAAAACAAAAACAAAAACGACAACGACAAATGCCATCAGAACTGAACTATGATCTTTAACTTTTACAAAAAAAATTCTGTACTCTAGGGGAAATCGGGTTTAATTTCAAACTAAAAGAAAAACTGAAAGGTTTATTTTATCGGACAGATTAGGTGGATTGGTGCCGTACCCGGGAGACTCTAGGTTATCTAAGAGAGTTGACAACTATGGTAAACTTTATACAGTATTCGTGGATTGAATCTAAGTGACTTATTAGAATATAATACAATGAATAAACCAAGAGCACCTGAGCCTACAGGAATGAGGATACCGATTTGCTGATAGATATATTCTGAAATGTTCTTCTTATAACTCCTTTGTCGGCTTTAAGAGGTTTCCCTCTTCTTTCAATTATGTGATTAGCGATTTCCTTTGGAACTTGGCACGAACTGGAATAACTGTTCCGTCGCCATCCAATACCGAGCTCAGAACGATGGAAAGGGCATACCGTTTCTTAAAGGAACCTAGGGTGCTTTCCATCTGTCAGAACTGGCCGGCTGGACCATAGCCTGACCAGTCATTTTGAAAATGAAATAGGACTTTTCCAAGAGTTTTTGCTGAAAAACGTTCTCTTTCGAGCATACTATTTCGAATTTGACTGATCTAGCTGAAGAGTTTGATTAAAAGGGAAATTATCATTGTGACGGGAATGGTCTGGCTGGTCAGTTCTGAGCTAAAATAAAGTCTGTTTCGCTTTCAATACCAGAAAGAGACCATGTCGACCTATGCCCAGTTACGTCCTTAATAGTTTGACAGCGACAAAGGAACAATCTCAGTTGATCTCTGCTTATCCCTTCTATCAAACGAACACAGAGTACCTACTAATGACTCGAAGGACCACGAACCTTCCATAGCTTCATCGAAGAAGAGCGCACACAAACAGTGTTTATGCAAAGATCTTTTTCTTTTTCAAGTGGGATGAACAGTTGAATCAAATTAAACTAAATTTAATTCGATAATGTTAATCAAATGCCTTAAACGTCAAAATATTAAAGATAATTCTCGGGTAAAGTAATGTGAACTGGATTATTTTTGTAGAAGGAGGAGTATAAAAGATGAATCTTCTTCAGTGTACTGGAAGTAACGGATGAAAGTCGGTAAAGCTCGTCACGTGTATTTCACCGGAAGTAGACCCTTGGCACACTATGCAAATGAGATTAATTGTAGTGAACGGATCCACGAGCAAGGAACTTTGCGTTGTTAAACTACCGAGCTTTATTTTATAGACGGCTTTTTTAAGGTCCAGGTTTCTCAAAATTTTAACAAGCATGAGATGTTAACTTGAAAACATTAGAGAAAACAGAGGGATGAAGAAATTACCAGAAAGCTGTCACGCACCTCCACAATGCTACTAACCCTAATCAGTATTTTCAGTGTTTAAGCCTAATCAGTATTGTTAGTGCTTAACCCTAATCACTATAGTCAGGGCTCACTCATATATGTATGTGTAGGCATCACAAGGTATCCAAGGGCGGTTTGAGAAATGGAAACTAGCGTTCACAATGTGAACGCACACATTCCAGCGGACTTCACAACTACGGTAACATAGGTGATAAGACGGCAAAATGAAACAACTTGGAGCTTGAAGTACAACAGATACAGGTTAAGGTGAGCTTTTCAAAAAAATTGTTGTACATATCAAGGCTACCAGCGTTGTAAACGGAAACCTAAAGTCAAATTGTTGGTGGTGGTCGCGTGACTCATGTGTTGGATGGCGTTATTTTATGTTGTCTGTAACAGGAATTTCAAATAATTTCTGAGAAGCTCAAAATGATTTCCCCAAAATAATTTTAAAATAACATAATAGTCTGATGCTTGAAGTGTTTTCCCCTTCAATCCTGAAAAATTCTGATCAAAGGCACATGATGAAAATCGGCGCTTTTTTAACTACCTTCCGTGGTTGAACAACAGGTAGACATACGCTTTAGCTCTTTTATAATTACTCAGACTGTTGTAATGCTAAAAATATTATATATTTTGATCAACGACGAGTTCTACTTACAATTTTAGCAACAAGCTTTTTTTCTAGCACGGTTGTTTTGAAATGCAAGTCGAGCGAATCATAGTGAATTTCAACCCTGTTTTCGGCTTGCGAAATCGACGGCGGGGCTTGAAACGGTTTTCTTGTTTTTCTCGGAAACGAACAGATCTTTCGAAGAAAAAACTACATAGCATTTGTACACTTACTAAAGTCTATCAGTATGCAAAAGAAGAGCGATTTTTATTTTTTGAGCCTTGCCGCACTTTGGTCGATATTTGCATGGAGTTGCCCTTAACATTTTGATCAAATCATTTTCGAAATCTCC